ACTTATAAGATTAGATACACATAAATAATAGTAAATATAATAAAAAAAAAGAAAAGAATAAGACCCTAAATTAATGTGGATTGGACAAAGGTGTTGGTATTTTAATAGTAAAAATTATTTAGAAAAATTATATTTTTTTCTGAAAGGGTTAGCAGATAAACCAGACCAAGAAAAGGAAGATTTCTATAAACAAATTGACGAAGCTCTTTAATTGTCAAAGCCCAGTGAAATAAACTTGATATTGGGACATTTTTATGGTTGGCAGAGGAAGAATAGAACCTGCGCTAGAAGACTACGGTATCGGTAAAAGAAATGATAGAGGGCAGAACTTAAATCAATATTATGAAGAGAAAAATCTCATAACGAACACATGGAGTATGTAAAGTGCCACGTGTAGTCTGGCTAGTCAAACAGCGAACTGCAAGAGAATTTGCTGCTTTGCCAAACTTGACGGAAACAATGATAGAAAAGTTGATCACATAATTTTTTTTTTGCAATATGGGATGATGGATGTAGATAGGCGCACTTATTCATAGGCATGATTCTATTGATTAGAGCCCGAACGACAGCACATTGGCGCAGTTATTGGCGAAACTAAAAAAAAAAAAAATTCTTATAATTTTATTGGTTTATTTCCTTGGTGTTTTCGATGCCACTGAACCCAAAGAAATGGTTATCATCAGGCGGTGTCAGTTGAGGTATCAGTGAATATTTTTAGGTTATGCCTCACTTTTCTTCCCCCTTTCGTCTCTATCAAATTACCACTTGCCAGCCTATAGGCTTTTATACATGGACATCCCCAAAACACAACGATCAGCATATCAGTCGTAGTCAAATAGATTACAACACAATAAACAGAATTAGGAATTTCATAACTTAGGTTACCACTAGGGTTGCCAGGCGTTTTGGATTTCGCAGGATGTCCTGGATTCAGGGTCTAGCGTCCTGCCTCCTGCCGGAGTTGTCCGCTGGACACCAAGTATCCTGAATTTCATAAAATCCTTACTCTTAAAATATTTTTAAAAAAATTACTTTTATTTCGGCTCAGCTATTTTATAATTTAACGTGAGAGGCGCGAAAATGCACCCACGCGGTACATTACATGATGTAATGTCTACAATATTTTTGATAAAGGACTCCGCACACTTCTTATGGGATTTCTGACCCCGGTCAAATTTAACTAAATTTTAGTATGTTATAGATCCCACCTTTCTGATCAATAACTACCATGGGCACAACTTAATTCTATGAGTAGCTTCTGAGATACAGGTAGTTTATTGTCCAAGAAATGTATACATCATAGAGAAATATAATAAACCAAGGTAAGAGTTACCGATTCATAGGCGCCAATAGCGGCAACGTATTTCTTGTATCACATAATGGCGCTAGTATAGCTTGGAACTATCTGACAATTCTGACATCGCCTCCCATTCTTATATCTGTCTGTTTTCAACAGATGTGATATTAAAGGAAGAGAGGACAGGATTTTTTAATAATTGTGCATTAGGCATTCCAGGTCACGTGACTTTTGACAGGTCCGCCATATTAGCTGAGGGGCAAACAAAGCCTATAGATCATTATTGTTTACAAGGTTTTTTGAGTCTGTGCTATGGAATTTTTGCGTTTTTTGATTTATTCAATAAATTTTAAGTTGTTTTTAGTTTTTGTGAATGAATGAATGAATCTTTATTTACAGACATGCCACTGTACATTTCAATTCAACAATAGTAAACAAACAATTTATTAACAAAAATAATGCTTAAGAATCTGAATTGTTTAAAAAATAAAAAAGTTTGATACTAACAACCTTACAAATAAACTCTAGCAAAATAAAGTGGTAGAATGACTCCTCAAACGTTTTGACTGTTTTGATCGGTGCACAGATCTGGCATGTAGCTTAGCTTACTGGCTTGTTCATTCTGGGCTTCTATCAATTATCGTAGTATATCCTAAATTTGTATATACTGGGGACCCAATCCGGATTGTTTGTATCCTTTAATTCTGCTGGACTACCTAAAAGGCATTAAAAGTTACCTATATACTTGTAGAAACATAAACAACTTTTTTGATGTACCGAGATGAAGTGTTTTTGTATTTTAACAACAAGACAGTCATAAAACTTACCATTAACAAAATGTTTCGAACAAATTCGAGCATTTTTAACAACGTTACAGGCAAATCTCCCCTATTGAGGCATCTAATTTACATACTCCGTTGTTTTTTTGATAGCTCGTTTATGCGATCCCCTCGATCTTTAAATGCTGCTGGAATCCTAAAAAAACCTCACTTTATCCCTTTCAGCTCTATTGGAGCACCCAAAAACGCCACAAAACGAAGGCATCTTCACAAAATACTTCAAAAATTCTCGGTTTTTGCATTGAAAATAACATTAAATCAGCTTATGTTTGGCTTTTGTTTGCCCCTTAGCTAAAATGGCGGATCGGTTATGACGTCAACCTGGAGTGCGTTCAAGGACGGCAATGCTAATGCCAAAACCCACTTTTCCCCTTCTACCGGCGATGCCAAATCTGGTGTGAATTTGCTGGAACACCAAATACCGTTTCTCAATTTTCATGACACTTGCCATCAAAATTAACCTATAAATTTATTAAAAATTGTTGTAAAAATTCTTAAATTTATTATTTTCAGATCGTCAGCGTTAGTATTATCTATTCACCACTTCCACTTCTGTTTTAGAAGCTTTATGTATTGTATTATCTATGTGTTGTTATTTGTTCCAAAAGTGACAGACCCCACTTATCCAATCAAAATTCGTATAACCATTTCTAGACTCAGCTGAAAGCACCTCCAAAAGTTACTTTACCACGGCCGATTTTGAACGTATAAAGCCAACCGTTTTTCGCACACTATAGCCAAACTTGAACGCAATATGCCAATTTTGGCTTGGCTTTAGCCGTTTTTGAACGCAGCCCTGGAATGCCTAATTGCGATTTCCAACCTATAAAATGACATTTCCTTTTTTCAAAACTGACACAAATGAGTGAACCTAAAATTAATTAGTTTATGTGAAAATCATTAAAATCGTGCATATGTTTAAGAATAATTGAGACTTTATAATTAGTGAAAATATATTTATTAATAAAAGTAAAAGATTTTCTAATTTCTAAACTTCACAACTTGACATTTCAGGTTATGTTGTCCACTATGACATTTCACAATATAAACTGCTCAACACAATGGTCGCATTCACCGGACGTAGCGTAAAGCGCTACCGCTACCTATCGGTAGCAGTCGCGGTTGGGAACGTGTTGGTCGTTCGCTGTCAAGTCGTTTCTCTTTCTGTTTTCGTTGACTGAGAAAGAGGTTATGTTTTTATATTTTGTTTGTTTATTTTTTGTTTATGTGTTAAAAAGTCGAGTATAAAGTGCTTAACAATTTTTTTAAACAATTACGAGGTGTAATAATATATGAGGTACCATTAAAAATGGACCTTGACTTCATAATTCAAAATGAAATTATGGAGAATAATTTAAATATAAATGTACTTGGTCAACTGGCTCTGGAATTAGCAGAACCAATTCGATTATTTGAGGACAATGAAGGAGGTAGACGTGTGATACGAAAAAATCAAAATTATTATGAAGTAACAATACGCAGTTATGAAGGAAAATTATTCTTTGAACATTTTCGTATGATGAGACCTACATTTGAGGTGTGTATGGAAGATAATTGTGTAACTGAATGTGAAAGTTCTATTTTAGAATTTATTACAAAATCTGGGAAACATTGGAGCTGTAAGACAATCGGTGATACCTTTTGAAAAAAAAGTTCTATTTACTATATGGGTGCTTGCTAAGCCCGAGTCATTTCTGGCAGCTGGAGATAGATTTGGATTAGCAAGAAGTACTGCTCATATGATTTTTAAAGAAATCGTGGATTTAATTAAACAATTGATGCCCCAGCTAATATCTTGGCCAATAAATCATCAAAATTCTATTAATGTTAGTATAACTTTAATGCACTAACAGAAAATGTATTTAAGAAAGATCCCATGGCTTTCCAGGTGTTGTAGGAGCTATAGATGGTTCTCATATCCCAATAAAACAGCCAAAAAATAATGCTAATGATTACTACAACAGAAAAGAATTCCATTCAATAATTTTGCAAGGTACTTATATTAGTTTTCTGTATAAATAATTATTAAAACTGTTTTTAATTAAATGGCTTGTATTTCCTTTCCAGGTGTCTGTGATCATTGAATGCTATTTATTGATGTATTTATTGGGATGCCAGGAAGAGTCCATGACGCAAGAGTGTTTAGAACCTGTGAAATTTATCAGAAATTGATAAATGAAGATAACCCCTTATTACCAAGAGATTTGCATTTGCTAGGAGATTCTGCATACCCACTAATGAAAAACCTGTTAACTCCATATAGAGACAATGGCCATTTGAATGATTTCCAAAATAATTACAATTATAGAATGAGCTCCATTCGTTCGGTAATTGAAAGAGCATTTGGGCGTTTAAAGGGCAAATTTAGACGCTTAAAGTATTTAGATATAGGGGATCCAGAGTTTGGAACGCAAATCATAGCTGCTGCTTGTGTTCTTCACAATTTTCTGATTTTGAATGAATCAGTAGAAGAAGAAATCGAAGAACTATTAGAAGGGGATCAACCAAACCTAGAAATGGACATTGCAGATGAGGGTGGAAATGACAAGAGAAACCAGATTGCAAATATGCTTATATAATAAATATAATTTAATTATTAATTATTGTTTTTTTTGTGCTTCACAAAGTTTTCTCAAAATTTTATTTCTCTCCTCCTGAATATCATTGCTCTTTTCTAAGGCATTTCGTAGAAGCTTGATTTCTTCTACACGAGCTTCCTCGATGGCAGCCAGCCTCTGTCTTAAATAGAACATTCCACTCTTTGATTCCATTTTCTTAGAACTTCTGGAACTAAAACATATTATAAAACACTTTTATTTTTACTAATTATAAAAACAAATATTGCTAGAACTTAACATAAGTACTCACGGAGTAAGTAAACTGGATTCCTTTTGAGGAGTGGCTGGAACACTGGGTTGGGGTAGGTCCCGAGGACCAACTTCATTCAGGGGCTGCAATTTTATTGGCAACTTCTGAATTACTGACAATGGTGTTGAAGTCGAAATAGTTGTTGGAAGATTGACAGTTTTGTCTTCCCTGTATATTTCGTTGAACTGGTGATAATATTCCCAGTAAATTCTCCCCCTTCCTGTTTTTCGAATATTATCTTTTATTCCTGTATAAGTCTTCTTCAAATTCCTCCATTTACGATCCAATATGTCCTCCGTTACGTGATGGCGTTTAGACAAAAATTCGTTTTTAATTTTAGTCCACAGCTTTTTTTTTTTAACTTTTGGATCTCTAAATGCATCCTTCAAACTCATGTACTGCTCAACTAATAATTGGGTTGTATTTTTGTCCCATGCAAAAGGTTGAACTACTGCAAAAAAGGAAAATGTGTGTGTTATTTTCTTTTCTAAAAGATTAAAGTTTTTTCGATAAAGTTTGATAGGGTGCTGGGACAAAATAGCGTAGGTCAAAAGAGCGCAGGGACAAAACAAAAGAGCGCAGGGACAAAAGAGCGCAATAAGCGCGCGTTGATTTCGAAGCATTTGAAGAACATGGATGTAAATCAGAGTTGTTAAATAATAATTGTCACTTTTTGTTTCGAATGCAGACGTACTCAAACTAGCCCAAAATAACCCGTTCGCCTAGTGCGATCTAAGATGACATCAGACAAAGACTGAATCACACTAGGCGGACGTGTTATTTTGAGCTAGTTTGAGTACGTCTGCATTCGACTTAAAACATACACGACTTAATTGCGCTCTTTTTGTTTCAGTGCTCTTTTGTCCGCGGTCTTTTGACCTGCGCTCTGTTGTCCTAGAGCCGTTTGATAGAGTAGGTACATACTTTGATTAGGATTAGAGCCTTGATTTAATGAAGTGTTTTGCTTCAAAGTTTCCAGGATTTCCAGGGACTCTGAAAAAAAAGAAACATTTTGCTAATAAAAATACAACATACTTATCCTATATTTTCTACATAATAATCTACTTCTTTATTATTATAAATATATTATTATTATTGTATTTTATAATACTTACCATCATAACTTTCCAAGTCTTGCTCCTCAACCATCCCATCATCATCCTCGAACACAAATTCAATCATATTTTTATTATTTTTCACACTTTTAGAAGCTCGCTATTACCGCTACCGCTACCTATCATAAACTAAATGCGCTCCGAAAAATGGCGTCCGCTCCACAACATGTTGTGTATGTAGCGCATGTGTCACCGGACGTTTACGCTACGGTTGTGCAACAGTTGCGCAACTGTTTCGTCCGCTGAATGCGACCAATGAACGATATAAACTGCTCACATATTAAAGTTCTATATTAAACACCTTCCCCTTAAAGATCTAACCTACGGGGCTTAATAACTAGACGGCCTGATTTGGATTGAGATTTTGGTTGGAGATTGTCAGACTGATTTGAAGACACCTTTGGTTTAGTTTTTTTCTTATTCTTAACTTTAACATTTCTGTTACCCACGTTATTGCTAGTACTAGGTTGATTAGGGGCCGATACTTTTGCTCTCTATTAACAGATTTGATACGTTGTCAAAGTTTTGCATGGCCCAAGATCTATATAAGTATGATGTGGTTAGAGCACATTCAAACCCCTGATTATTTTTAACGGCTGTTAAATGAGAGCAAAAGTACCGGCACTAGGAATATCTATTTAAGGGGTTATTACAGGTGACATATTATTAGAAACATTTTGGGGTTGTAACACAGAGATTTGTGGAGACAATACAGGCATTTGTGGAAACACTGTCACAGTAGGCAAAATATTATTTAAATTTTGATTTACTATATTTTGATTTTGCGCCATATCTGGATAAAATATAGGATCTAAACTAAATTCGTCTACATCACTTTTTGTAAAAGACAATTTCATTTGACTTGTGTTTCTTCTGACAATTCTGTTATTACTCTCTTTCCTTATCCAGTATGATCTTGGTTCCTTGGCCTTTTCAACAACAACTGCTTTATGCCAAATAGTATCTCTACTACTTTTTATGACAACCTTATCCCCTTTTTTAAAACTTGTTGGGGTCTTGCGTGCGGATTTATCATAGTGCAGCTTTACATTATGTTGTTGTTGACATAAAGTTTTGTATACATCATTTTGAATTTTAGGCTCTAAATTTTTACTAGTCACAGGTAGCTGAGTTCTTAAAGACCTGCTCTGGAAAATCTGAGGAGGAGAAGCTTTAAGGTGAATTATTTCAGTGTTATTATAGTCTAACACAGCTTCACGAAAATTAATGTTTTTCTCAGAACTTTTTCTCAGAATTTGTTTTGAGATACTTACTGCTTTTTCAGCAAGTCCATTACTTTGATGCCATTCAGGTGTACAGGGTATTTGATTATATTTGGCACCATACCTACAACCTTTACTATTTAAGATAGAAAAAAATTTTAAATACAAAACTTGACAGTTTTTTTCTATATTTTCTTTTGACAGTATCAGAAAAAACAAAATCGCATCGGAAAATGGAGAAACGTAGGCAACTTCTACTTTTTTCAATGGAACACCTTGTATATTATACGATAAAATTGAAGATCTTTTCTTCCTGATTCCAAATATATATATACTGATCATATTTGAGTGAGTCGTTTTTGATATATCTTAGCTTAAATTTTAAATAAAATCCAAAGGAATTTTATGAAGATTTAAATGTCTTGACATCCTTATGAGATTTCTTTGCAAATTTAAGCTAAAATATTTCAAAAACAGCTCACTCAAATGTGCTCAATATATATATATATGTTACTGTAAATGCCCGAAATTCGGTAAAACCTAGGATAAGCGCGCTAAACCTAGGATTTACCAAAAACAAGTAGTAAAAGCCCGAAAACTAGTTTATTTGTCACTCATTTGTAAAACGTCACTTATCCAGTCAAAACATAAACAACGAAAATTGATTTTTACCAGCTACTGGCTCTACTGACTTGTAAAATTGACAGCTAAACTGTAAAAACTTTTTACAAGTCAGTAGGATTATTTATTTTTAAAGAATCAGTTTTATCCTAAGAATAATTGCTTATAGGTACCTTCTGGAAGACTTTTCTGGTGACAAACTGTTAGCTATGACTGCTGCTTCATTAATAATATCTTCTAGCACATTCATTTCTGGGAAAAAATTGCAAAATAGAAACCTGTCACAAAACCTATTTAATATAACTAGAAACAACGAATTAACAGCATCTGATTCTCATAGTTACACCAATTACCAAAGCTTGTATAAAAAAAAAGAAAAAAAAACATAAAAATTTCAAAATGTTGTTATGTATTAATTTTTTATTTGTCCCTATATGTTTTACAAATGAGTAACAAATAAATTATTGTACATTATACGCCAGGTAGCAGTTTTTACTGGCTCTTGAAGGTGACAAGCTCGCCTGACGGCTCACTAGTCATTTCCTTCAATCGCCAGTAAAAACCGTTTTACCTGGCTAATAATGTAAAATACTATATTCTGCTTTCATTTCGGACTTTTACCAGACACAAACAGTAAATCTTAGGATTTACCACACCGCATTGGTAAAAGTACGAATACCACTGATACGTTACAAAAAATCGATATCGTGAAACGATAATCGGTGAGAAAATTTCTTGAGTCCTGGAGATGTTCTATTTCAGGCAATTAGCGTAAGAAGTGCAGTGCGAATATTGTCGTTATGTAGTAGCCAAGGATTTAAGAAATGCAATTGCATTCGAACATGTTTCACCAAAAGATGTTTGTGCAGATCCCCTAACATACTCTGCAATTCTAAATGCCATGGCAGTTTGCCCTGTACCAATAAATAAATACATATTTCTATTAGTGGACATTTTAATTCATTTATTTCATTTAATAAATGAAAGGATTTTTTCTTTTAATATTTAAGTAAAGTTTTTCCAAAGTCAATTGGAACAAGGCAGAGCCGTAGCCAGGGGGGCAATGCCCTATCTTTCAAATGATGATGCCCTACCTTTAAAACACATGTGCTGAGGTTTCTCTAGGAAATTTAGGAGTAGATGGCATCACTGTTCCAACCGACATGAGAACCATTCTAGAACGGTAATTTACAGTCAATCAGTTCATTTGTCAAGTAGGATCTGAGGATCAGCGTTCAACTTATTGAAAATTAGGTGAGCAATTGGAAATTACTGGTTCTGGAACGGTTCCCATGTCGGTTGGACCACAGCTAATGAATAGACCTGAAATCGAGTAAGTTGGTATGGTATACAGTTATTTTACAAGTAGTACAAGTACAAGAGGTCCCTCAAAAATTATTGCCTAAACGCGCAATTTTGTTTACTTGCCAGAGATGTTATTTGATGTTGTTTATTGAAAAATTTTCCTCCGGCGTCATTACCCTCATTTTGTTTACCTATAAAAGATTTAAGGGGGAGGGGGGGGAAGTAGTGCATGTCCTATGTCAAATTTTTCATGCCCTATCACAAATTTGACTCTAGCTACGGCCCTGGAAAAAGGTGAACATAAATCATAACTGGTGATCGACCAGTGGCAGTGCATTTCTTATAGAAATTTTCAGTGACCAGTCAGCTACCCGTTGGTACCTTGTTCCAATTGAGTTTGGAAATACTATACCTACTTTTTGGCCTTTTTGCAATATTAGTAGGTACCTGAGTTCTGAATTAATGTTTTTTTTTTATATATCGTTTAAGGCCACTATGATTTCTGTTTACATTTGAAAATATTAAAATAAAAAGTGTTTTGCTGTGACTTTTTGTTTCATTTCAAAGTATCTTATTTTTAGGCATTGAAATTTTAACGATGATCATTTCAAGATATCGATTTCTGTAACGTATCCGTGGTATTCGTACTTTTACCAATGCGGTGTGGTAAATCCTAAGATTTACTGTTTGTGTCCGGTAAAAGTCCGAAATGGAAGCAAAATAACTAGTTTTCGGGCTTTTACCACTTGCTTTTGGTAAATCCTAGGTTTAGCGCGCTTATCCTAGGTTTTACCGAATTTCGGGCATTTACAGTAACATATATATATATTTGGAATCAGGAAGAAAATATTTTTAATTTTATCGCATAATATACAGGGTGTTCCATTGAAAAAAGTTGAAGTTGCCTACGTTTCTCCATTTTCCGATGCGTTTTTGTTTTTTCTGATACTGTCAAAACAAAATATAGAAAAAAACTGTCCAGTTTTGTATTTAAAATTTTTTTCTATCTTCAATAGTAAAGGCTGTAGGTATGGTGCCAAATATAATCAAATACCCTGTACATGTAGAAATGGTGATGTCTTTTTCCCTATAGTATTTCAGACATTTTTGTGAAATAAATTTGGTGAATATGTCTTGAAAAGTATCTATAACAGAATTGGAAGTTTTGTCTTTCAGTGGAGACAAATCTATCCAATGTGAAAAAAAATCAACTGTTACTAAATAACTTTTAGCACCAAACTCAAGAATGTCAGTAGCAACTTTTTGAAATCTTAATTTTGGAGTGGAATGTGACAGCATAGGTTCTTTGAAGATTTTAGGTAAATATTTCTCACAGATGCGGCATCTTTTAATAAAGTTAGATATGTCAGTACCTAAATTAGGCCAATAAAAGAGATTTCTTGCTTTATTGAGTGTTTTACTTATACCAAGATGACCTTTATCATGTAAAAGTTTTATAAAAGATGGTCTCAAAGACACTGGTACAATAATCTTATCTTTAATGAAAACTATACTAGCTTCAATAAATATTGAGTCTTTGAGTTTATAGTAAGGCTTACAATCATTAGACAAACGACTTTCTTTAGGCCAGCCATTGAAATAATAGTCAAAAATCTTCGTGAGTGTAGCATCTTTGCTTGTTTCTAACCTTAACTCAGATTGTTTTTCAATACTCATTGGTAGATGTTTACTTACTAAGTGTACCATCTCTAACATCTCAGGATCATGACTTACTATGTTTAAACTTGACCTTGAAAGCATGTCTGCAAAATGGATGTCCTTTCCAGGAATATAGTATACATTCAGTGAGTATTTGAGGAGTTTTAATCTCAACCGTTGCAACCTAACAGAACCAACCTTACAAATAGGTTTTTTCATAATTGAAACAATAGGCTCATGATCGGTCTCAGGATCTACC